TTCATTATTAGGCAATATATAGAAAATCAAACTGGCTAGTCTGACAAAATATTGACTACCAATGAATTAAAATGCATGCAGAAATTTCCGTACATTTCTAGGTGACATGAGAAATTATAACTGTGACTTTTGTTTCTGCAAAGGTTGGAACAAAAGGCCTTTCAAGGTCCCTTCTAACATGGGTTTTCTCTGATTCTATAAAAATAACCCCAAACTTTATCAGGGCAGGACATATTCCTAATATTATTTTTTAATAGGACATATCATTCTGATTAGAACTCGAATGAAAAATTACTGTCTTAGCTACTTATTAAAAGATGTTGTTGAGAAGAGAGGATAAATAAAGAGGGGGTTTGTGGATGTGTTCTAAGTGCACAAGCATCAGAGGAGTACAGCTACTGTCTAACGTGACAACTACAGGACATGTGGGTCAGAATATGAAGAAACAGAAAACAGGACTCATGGAAAAAATGTGAATAGCAGTCTCAGGCTCTCTAGCTGCCCTTATATAAACAGATGGAAACATTTTTATTAGCAGGACGGCATCACATGTTTGGTTTTGATTGACTCATGTTTCCACATGTAAACAACTAATAGGGTAGCACAGTGCAAAATCTGGAATTATTAGCAAACTGTTGATGCTATTTCAGAATAACATTTTTGTTCCTTTAATCAATGAAACAGAGAAACAGAGTGAAACAGAGAAAAGAACAGCATTACCAGTATAAGGTATAATGTTGCATAAGATCTTCATGTTAAAGATTTCTAAAAGTTACCAACAAAAATTAATTACTGGGGTACATCAGGAACAGCAAGAACAGCCAGTCAAGGAAGGTGATTGTCCCACTCTGCGCTGGTGCAGCCTCACTTTGAGTCCTGTGTACAGTTTTGGGCACCAGAATATGAGAAATAAAGCTATTAGAGAGCGCCCAAAGGAGGGCTACAGAGATGGTGAAGGGGAAATCATATGAGGAGAGTCTGAGGCCACTTGGTTTGTTCAGCCTAGAGAAGAGGAGCTGAGGGAAGCCCTCACAGCTTTTTACAGGTGAGGCAAAGCAGAGGGGCAGCACTGATACCTTTTGTGTGGTGACCACTGACAGGGCCCAAGGAAGCAGCATCAGGCTGAGTCAGGGGAGCTTTAGGCTGAATAGTAGAAAAAGGTTCTTCACCTAGAGAGTGATTGGGCATTGGAATCAGCTCCCCAGGGAAGTGGTCACAGCACCAGCCTGAGAGAGCTCAAGAAGTGTTTGGACAGCCCTCTCAGGTATGTGGTGTGACTCCTGGGGATGGGTGCTTTGCAGGGCCAGGAGTTGGACTCAGTGAACCTTGTAGGTACCTTCCAGCTCAGGATATTCGACAATTCTATGACTACTAATCTCTGTAACCTGAAGCTTCAAAGCCCTCTCTCCAGCCACAGTATTCTAATCCTGAAGGAAAGAAAAAGAACCTACTCTCTATGAATTTATGAGTTCTTACAAGAGCATTAAACTGATTACAGCATGACCTTTCCCCTTTTACATTGGCCCCAAGTCCCCAAAATACATATACTGTCAGGAACTCTAGAACATTTGCTGCCTGTAGGCCAGGTCTCTAGCAAATGCCCAAGAGGACACCTCCTGCCAAGCAGCGAAATACAAGCAGAAATTGTTGGACTTGTTTCATGGAAGCAGCACAGAGAAAATGCTATAAGGAGTAGTAATTCTTCTCCACCTGGACCTTAAAATACATGCATGAGATATTAGCAATAGAGAAAATTTGCTGGGGGAAAAAACAAAACAAATATTTTTATAGATGTAGAAATGAGTTACTGGAAGAGGAAAAGGCAGAATTTAAAGTACCATGGGCTTCCAACATGTTCACAGTCAACCTATGTTTATCCCTGAAATAAAAAAGAAAACCTCTCTGCTGATTACAGGAACAGAACCTAAGCAACCATGTTCCTTGTGGTTATATTTATATTAAATCTGCTCTGAGGTCTTGCAGAAGCAAGCCAGTGGTGAAAACTGAACTCTTAGAAAGCAGATATGTCTGCTAAAATTCATTAATTATAGTGCTGGGGAAACAAACAAACCACAACAAACCCCAGCCTTTGATATGGTTTCTCAAATGCTTCACACAGTTAAAATGCACTACTAAGACATCAGCAGCAAGAGTGTTAAGAAAAAAGAGGAATGAAGTAGTACAGGCAAAAAAAGAAGAGTTGCATTTTCAGTTGAAGAAAGTTGATTGTACTAATGTCTGAGGAGAATAGTAGAGGATATGTAGGAAGAAAAAAAACAAAGGAGTAAAGAAAATCTAAAGAAAATTTGAAATAAGTAAGAAAATTATATTGCCCTTCTTCCAAAAATATTAAACCAACACAGAAGTTTAGTGCTTTAGGAAAAAAGCAGATGATTTTGAAAACTATGGGTTGCATGTCTTCAAATTACAATGTTTCTTTACATAAAACTTGTCTGTTCTCTAATTTTCCTGTCTTCCAATTATGCTTTTCTCCTGGAATATATTCACTGTAATACAAATTCTCTTAGAAACCTGACCCATTGCCATTAGCAGTAAGAGTGAGATTAAGATTCATTCTTTTCTCCAGAGTAGTCCAGGGTCACCACTGTCATCCTTCATAAAATAGCTTAGAAAAGTGCAACTATTTAGAATAAAGTTTAGAAAATACCAGTGTAGTGTATTCTTACGATTTCTGCTCACCATATCTCATCACTGAAATCTACCTTTCCAGTCAGATTTTAACAGTGATGCAAGGAGTAGAACAGGCCTTTGTGGCCCTAATGCTACATCAGTAGGGCTCAGAGAGGTGCAGAAAGATTCAAATAATTGTGCACTACTGACTTAAATCATGACTAAAGTAATGCCAGAGAAATCTGTTTCCCTGGATACTTCATTCTGATATTTGGGATTTAAACAGTGCTGTGGTTATAATAGCTTCTAATAGCTTTATTTATTCAGTGTTTTGGGTTTTTTTCATGTGCAGCCTATTTGAAGGTTTTCTTGGTTGATTCCCTGTCATCTATTACTATGCTCCCCCTCAATGCCTCTTTACCACTAGCAACATTCTTCCCACATAGATTTTCATGACTGCTCCCTTGTGCCAAAAAGTCTGATTTCCAGCTTATGTCAAGATTTTCTAAGACCACAATATTTTTACCTTTCCATACTCTCAGATAGAAACTGACAGAACTCATTAAAAAGTTAATACTGTTCTCTGAGGACCAGATAATGCTCTAACTTGTAAAATTCATAGAGTTTTTTATTAATTCAGACTTTGCTAACCAATACATGGCTTCTCATTCAGTCCTTACAGAGGTATGGGTCTGTCCCTGAGAATCTGATTTACAGGCTAACAGAAGTGTTGTGCCAGCCTGCTTCTTGTTGGTAACAAATTGGCTGCAATCTGAAGCAGAATTGCTGAGGTTAACCTGGAGCCTACTGGACATTTTGTAGAATATATTCAGATTTCAGTAGAAAGGACAAAAAGAAGGTTAAAAAAGATGGCTTCCTCACAGGAGTAATCTGGAAAAGTTATAAACTAGGAGAAATATTGTTATAGAATATTAATTTATTAACAAATTATATTAGTCTCAGTTGGTTATCTTCATTTTTACACAACACATTACCCACTTTTCCAGAAATGCTTATGTAGAGTGTGAAATGCCATCCCAGAAAAACTTTTGATGCCTCCAGAAATTGCTTTCTGCAGTGTTCTGAATGTTATGAAAGGGAAAGGGAGAAACCAGTAGTGCTGACAGAGTTGTGACTATCATGGTTCATACACAGGGCTTCAAAATACAGTGTACTGAGTAGAAAAAGGATCAGCCACCTATTGAAGATAAAAACTTCATCTGGGCTATCACAAAATCAAATTACTTTTATGTAACTGATGGAGACCACAATAAAGTAATTAAGCAAGAACTTCCACACAAATCTCTTCAGTTTCTTCATATGCAGAATCTCTTGTCCCAGCTACCAGCAAATTCATCATCACTTAACTCATTCTCACAGGCAACAGATCTTAAAACACATCAAGGCTTGTGTGAGACTCCTGCACATATTTTAAATTCTGCTTCAGGCTTTGTACCTGTAAAGTTACAGCATGCTCTGAACATCAAACACAAGCAAAACATGAAGAAATTGTCACATCAGCAGGTCTAACCAAACATAACATTGATATGGAGAATTATGACATTTGACAGTAAAGATCAGAATACTGCAGTTAATCTAAATGTAATAAGCAAATATTTTTCTTACATTCTTTCTTTATATATAGCAAAGGAAGCAAAGGATGATCAAAATAGTAGCTCACTTGGTAAACAGGCCAACTCAGCTGACAATCTAGTATGGCAGATACAGTGATGGAAACGTAGAAAGGCTGGACTTCCACCTACTTGTTAATTAACTCATTACTTGGCTAGATCCTCTCATTTATGCCCACAATTAAATGTCATGAAAGCTGACTTGAAGTTTACAATTTCACCTTCAAAATTCAGGTAGAGGAAGGCTCATCTTCCTGATCTAGTAAAGGTATATCAGAAGATAAAACTAAAAATCCCTGAAAATCTCCAAATGAGAAAGGAATGAAGAAAAGTGTTTCATTAAATTCTAAGCTCTGTTTAGACCAGAAGTCATGGTGGCCCTGAAAATGCTGACAGGCACAGGCAGTTCTGCACTGGTTGCCAAAATGCCATATCTATTCTTTCACTTCCTTGTACAGAGCTTAGTGCTCAGTCAAAGGGTCATGGATACCCTTGGACACTCTCCAGACCTTCTGAAACATTTAGACTTTTTGTCAACTCTGGCTCCCTTCTCTGAGGCACACAGCCAACAGCCTTGAAGCCACAGAAAAGATACAAGATCTCCTCCCCACAGTGTGGGAACACTGGTGGTTCAGTGAGAGAAACTTTTCACTTCCTGCATCTCAATGCAACTGCGTTATGGCTGACATTATTTGGTCATGTCTTAATTTTTTTCTCCTTAAACAAAATATAACTTACCTGGAAAGTGACAGAGGAGCAAGTGCCTCTTGACGTTGAATACCTCAGGAAAAAGTGTTTTCTTAAAGGACTAAGACATCTCAGAACGCTGAGTTAATGTCTCCTCCTAGAAGCAAAAGAAACCCACTTTATTCCAAAGAAGTAGAGCAGTAAATTACATTATTTGCCTTGGAAAACTCAACTGCATCTCATCTCTGTCAATTTATCAAAACTAAACGTAAACTTAACAAAAATGAAAATATTTAATTAGCCAATCAAAAAAAACCAAAAAAAAACCTGTCAACTTCTTCATATTCGTAATCCCATAACCTCCTCACTTCATGTGTTTTCCACCTTTCTGCTTTTGCCAAGGTCATTCAAGGTACTAAATTTTGTCATCCAGGCAGGATATATAGGGACTCAAAATAACAACCTCAAAATTACTTGATATTAATGAAAAAAATCACTGTTAGTATAGTGATATACTATACTGATATATTAACAGTATATATAAATATATATATATTGTTATATATATATATATACAATATACAATATATACTATAGTGATATACTAACAGTATATATATATATATATATATATATATATATATATATACAGTTAGATCTTTGCATTAATTTCATAAGTTAATGGGGTGTCCAAGTTTAGAATGAGGACAACTGCTCCTGGTGTGACAGACAGTTTGGGGGCACAGGGAACTGAAGACTGAGCTGTTGGTACCCATAATATGTTCATCTAAGAAGCAACAAAAGATTAACCAATCAACATCAAAAAATTCTCCTTCCCCAGTATTTTGACTCATTCCCATTAATTATTCCTTGAAAGTGAGCTTTCTATGAAAGTCAACTTGAAAGTCAACTTGCTTTCATTTTGTCTATCATTTGTCTGCTTTCAGAGTCCCTCTTCATTGGTAACCTTACCAACATTCTCAAAGGAGAATACCAAAAACCACAATAACCCATAATACAACATTCTGCTTCCAAAATTGTGAAACATAGCCACAACTCAGAGCAGTTTGCAATTCTAGGTTCTCCAACCTAAATCAAGCAACAAAACCCGCTAAAAATGATGTCAACAATCTCATAGTTTTATTATTTATTTTTCACTTAGGAAGGAACACTGGGAAGGCAAGAGTGAGATGGATTGCCTGGAGCTCTAATAGCACTTATTACTTTGGATTTACACAATGAGGAATTCATACCTAGTTACTTAATAATATTGATAGCAGCATTAATCTTGCCAACTGAAAATGGCTAATCTACTTTAGCAGCAAGTTCATCAAAGGTTAAGTCCTTTTTTCCTATGTTTTTTTAATCTGTAGAAGAGGAAGGGGGTCAAGAAAAGGAGCTTCCAAAGAGCATTTGCAGTCTAATTTTATAAATAGGCTAATATGGCAATTCACAACTACAAAGGGAGAGAGGAATGAAAAAATCATAAATTCTTAAGAAAACGTTATAGCACATAGATGAAAAAGTTTATCGCTTAGAAGACTGAAGAGTTTTAAATGAAAGCGGCTGAAGCAGAATAAAATGGTTACCCACAAAAATTAGATTCTAGGAGGTGAGTTGGTGATGAAATACTGAGCTGGCAGGAGGCCAGTGTTGTCCAGTTTCATTCCATTGAGCAGGAGGGATAATGTCAGCTGACATGCTGGCAGCAAGAAAGGCCTAGGAGATGGATGGCAGTTTAAACACAGACTGGTCCAGCAGTCAATGGAAAGCTTGTTGCAATGATCTGACTAATTATTCTATCCACTGGGATTTGGAGTATTTTTAAGTAACTACAGAATCCACCTGTCAGGGAAGCAGTTGGGGAAAGGGCAATCCCATCAATTGAAAATGCACATGACTGGTGACAGACCAGATGTAGCACCAAGACAGACAGCAGGCAGTATCCTCATCAGTGTGACACTGAAGTTAATGCAGGACAACTTTACTGACATCTTCAGAACTGACTCCAGATTTACACAGAAATGAATGAATTCTGAGTATATTCATATTGAATTTCCTACCAAGTGCACAAAAAAAGAGTTTTATAAAGAAAATCCACTGGTCTGAAAAAGGAAACTGTACTTAACACATGCCAGAATCTCATCTGTGGGATAGCTGTTCAGCAAAAGTAAATGAGCACACTTCCATGATACCAGTCCCTAAAATCTTTCATGGGACAGTTGGCAGTATTTGCAGAAGAGCAGTCTCTCCAAAGAAAATGTTGAAACAGTTTGCAAAACTACTAGAGTAGCTATCATAAACATTAGTCTAATCTATTTCACTGAAACTGAAAATCCAATCTTGCTGTGCATCAGCACACTCAGAGGATTTTACTGTGGGAGGAGCTATAGGTCTTAGCCAGATGGGAGACTATCAGGCTTTAAAAGCACAGGCAACCTGAAGACACCTTCCCAAAAAGAGAGGATTATGAAATGATTCGTCTGGGAGCAATCTAGACTTGGGTAGAATTTGACTAAATAATTATAACAAAGCCCAGTAGAAATGGATAAATCTTTATGGATATGCTGCTTTAGAATAGGGACCAAGTCTCTGGTTGGGACAGCAGGTATAGGAGTAAGATGGAAAACTGGTGACTAGTGAGGTCTGAAAATAATTAGAGCAGAGGGAGAAGAGTAGCCACCTGAAGGCTGGAAGAAACCAATTGCAGGGAGCAATCTACTCAGGGATTAAGACTTCCAAGCCCTCACCTAAGGAGCACGAGGGAGAGTTGGGAGAGGAAGAATCTGATCAGGCTAATGGCAAACTGCAGACACATTCAATCAATGCTGACAAACTTATATTTGACTGGAGTTTTTCTAGAATAGTAGCCAGTATCCAGGGAGGGAGAGAAAGTCTGGGAAAACTCACCACCAGGTAATTGCAGTCTACAGCATGAGCCACTTTTTATTTTTCTCTGGAAGGCATTCTGCTTTTAATTTCAAGTCACGTTCTATGAATGGGGTTAAACAAACATCTATTTAGGAAGGATATAACTTAAACTTTAATATAAATCAACTTTTTTCATGAGTAGCATTTTGGGAAAACATGAAAATGGACTGGTTTTCTCTCTGTGGTTCACCTCCTACCTTAGAAGCCCAAATTAACCATTTCATCTTTGATGAGATTGTCTTTCTCTGATGCCGAATGTCAACATGCTACTTCATTATGTTTTTGCTATTTATTTCCATCTTTAAGATCAAAAAGACTCCTAGCTCACATAACATGCAATATTCAAATTCTGAGTTGATGTATTCACTCTTTTTTTTTGGTTTTGTTTAAAGTCTCTTTCCTCTCTGTTATAACTTCACTGATGCAATTTTGATGTAGCAAACAATCATACCAATGATATATTTCAGGAAACAAATACTTCCTTGACAATATATGTGGTTGCTTCCTTACCTATCTCAACAGAGGGAAAAAGACATTCCTTAACATAAAAAGTAGACAGGAAATTTAACACAGTCACAGAACACCACAGGACAACAATCACATCTTCCCACAGATGCCAATTAAAAATTTAGGTCATGAAAGGAATTGATGAAATTATTTCTCCAACTCTCTCTACTTGCATCCTTCTTGCATCCAACTTCAAAGTATTTGCCCCCAACACTATCACTCTTACCAAACTTTTGAAAATATTTTAAACTGTTATAACTCTAATCACATCATAAATGGACTAGATTTCCATAGTTAAAACACTGACTACAGCTGGGTGCCATGCAAGCCATCCTACAGCAATCAACAAGAAGTTTGAAACATTTGGTTAGAGCCAAGAAATGAGAAGTGGAAGTTACTGTCATAATCAACAGGCAACCAGCTGCCTCTCTTGAAAGCTGGAAAGGGGTTAGAGGGCAAAGTAGAAATCAATGTAATAGCAGCCAGAACAAATTTAAGAAAACTTGTAAAGCATACTTGGGATGGAATGCAAGTAAACGAAACTTTTTTTATTACTTTTAAAATGCTATGAAGGTGCTAAGGAATAAATGGGTTTTTAGAACTCCCAATGCAATCTGTCTGGCATACTGTATTCCTCAAGAAGGCAAATCAGATAAAAACTCTGGAGGTAATTGAAGTATCTGTAATTCCATCAAATAACGATTTCTTTTTAAATTGGCCTGGCAATCATAATGCAGTTGAGGCAATAAATACATTTAAAGAATAAATATTACGGGTTTTACCAAGATGCACTGTTAAAGACTGTAGGCTTCAGTGCAGAGAATAGAACAATCTAGATAAACAGGTCAAAATGTCAGTCTGCTGATTTCACTTTTCTCCATTTTTGAATGTGTGTCCTTGAATAATTACAGTTGTGCTCCAAGAGATGCTATGAATCAGCAGGTTTCTCTGTTACTGTGGCTGAAGGAAAATAATCTAGATACAGAAACAGCAAAAAATCCCTTCAAATATCTAATATATTCAAATTGGGCACTTTCAGTTTTGGGGGTACTCCTGAATCTCCTTTCTGCTGAAATGCTTTTGTTGCCACTATGGGAAATAATGTCATGTTACCCAAGTGCCTGTTTGGATTCAACAGGTAAAGGAAGTAATTTCTATTTGTATAAACTGGCTAATTTATACACATTGCTCATCCCTTCCCCATTTCCAAACTTTATTCTCATTTTCAGGTCACTGTCTCTTTGATTTACAATATTTTTCTTCAAAAAGGAGTTGTATTTGAATCCAGTTAGAGTGCTTAAATAAGACTAGTGACAATTACAATATTTTCATTTAATTTTCTAGAATAATAGTGAAAAATTCTTCCATTCCTGAGTAACTTCCATTCATATTCTGGAAGAAAAGGATGTAAAAGTAATGTATATGTATTGTAGCCAAAAAGAAATTACTTTGGAGAAGTCTGACAATGATTAATTTTTTTTTTTCAATTTTTCTGTCACTTTTGCCACCCAAGCATGACATCACAATTTTTCAGGAAAGTGTATCTTATGGCCTAAGTGCTATTACGGAGCACTCAATAAATGATTTTTTTCTGCCTATAATGTAAGGCAGAAGGTATTTACTTTTATCCTCAGAAATTTTTAAAAAGTGTTTAAATTCCTTAATAAGTAGAGCTAGTGCAAAATCAAGAGACGTTAAATTCAGTCAATATTCAACAGC